CTGAAAACAGTTTCATATCGTTTAAAACGCCTGTAATATCAAAACTAAATTAATTTACTAAATCTGAATCAACAATATTTAGTGATGTTTAACCCGTGATATCTGCGGTATTGATGCCAAAAGTGTCCCGAAATGTGCCATGACCAATCGAACCGTAATTAATGCCAACCAACTGTCCACTCATGTTAAGCACCGGACCGCCAGAGAACCCCTGAACTATGGGACACGAGTGGTTCAGATGAAGACCCGTCGGGTCGGTAAAGACCATAAAGTACTCGTGAGTGTCCACACAAAGGGTGCGGCCCTCACGACCCACACAATTGACGACACCATCGATTAGGCAAAACTCTAGCATAGGATTCCCAATGGACACCACGTGTTGGCCAGCGTTGGTACTGAACCCAAGCTCTTGGAGTCCAATGTCGTCCTTTTCGGTACACTTGGAGTAGACGATCGCGATATCCAATCGCGGACTGCAATACATGACACGCGAGAACGTTATGCCATCATTTATTCCGAGGCCCCGAACGTGGCCCTCATTGTCCACTTGGAATCGTTCGGTGAACCACAGACCCCAGTCTCCAACCACGTGACAATTGGTCAGTATATAACCGCTGCCGCCGAGACACACACCCGAACCCCACCCCCAAGCAAATTGACCATTTGGTCGCTTACCCGTTGTGTTATGTATTTTAACAAAATAATTCACATATTTTTCATAGATCTCATCGATGGTTAGGTCTTTGTTTTGACTCATGAGAGCTGATCTAATAGAAAACTTTAATCTAATTTGTTGAACATTTGCCATAATTTGTTTGTTTCGATGTTTTTTGTACTTTCCATACAAATAATTGCATGAAATTGTGGCCAAAATGATCCGAAGACTATTTGATAAATGTATTTATTTTTAATAAATTTTAAGATAAATTGATTTCCTATTACCTCGTATTATATCTTATAATTGATAGCATTGCCTCTAATTATGTTTGCGTTACAAATAATTGGTTCAATTAATTAATATTTAAATTACTGAATGTTAACAGAGATAATAAATTAAAAATGTAACAAAATTCAAAAATTATAATACATGTAAATGTTTATATCATTCGCGAGAATATTACATTCACTAAAATTAAATTTATTAAAAAACATGAGAGAAAGTCACACTACGAATAAATAAATCAATGTTTGCAATCATTATAAACATTAAATAAGTGGAGAGACAATGGATTGTGGTTTAACTTGAAATTGCAATTTGTTTTGTATATCAAATCTTCGGATAACATGTATAGCGATGCCTTCATTGGGATTACAATTATTGCAAAAATCTCTCAATTGTTTTACAGAATTAATCGGATTGTCATTCACTCTAACGATAGTATCACCAGTTCTGATATCAGTGCTATTAATAAACCGATTAAATTAAAATAAATCTATTATAAATTATTGTTAAATTTAATGAACAATTAAATAGTATTACGGAATCGACACTGAATTTGTGGTTAATTTTCTCAAAACTAAAAGCCCTTCATTTATAGTGCATTCAGAATCTGATCCGAAAAGCGTTTCCCACAACTCTATAGTCATTGGTCTGAGCGCTAATCCCAATGATTTCTCCGCACTATATGTGTGTCTCTTCTCGGAAAACAGTTTCATATCGTTTAAAACACCTGTAAAATCAAAAAATTAATTTAATAATCAAAGCCAATAATGAGCTTAATATTAGGTGATGTCTAACCCCAGACACTTGCGGTATTGATGCTAAATGCCTCCCGAAATGTGCCGCGTCCGATTGACCCGTAATGTATGCCAACCAACTGTCCACTCATGTTAATCAACGGACCGCCAGAGAAACCATTATATGTGGAACACGTGTGGGTTATATGAAGACCTGTCGGGTCGGTGTAAACCATATGATACTCGTAATTATCCACACAAAGAGTACGGCCCTCACGACCCGTACAACTGACTACACCATCGGATAGACAAAATGGGAGCGTAGGATTCCCAATGGACACCACGTGTTGGCCATCGCTAATACTAAACCCAACGTCTTGGACCTCAGTATCGGCCGTTACGGTACACTTGGAATGGATGACCGCTATATCTAACTGCGGACTGCAATACATAACTTGAGCGCCAGTTATGGGGTCTTTCACGCCGAGGCCGCAGACGTCGCCGTTGTTGTCCACTTTGAATCGGTTGACGAACCAATGCCCTGCCTCTCCAACCACGTGACAATTGGTCACTATATAACCGGTGCCGCCGAGACACACACCCGAACCCCACGAAACCATATACTTGCCGTTTGGATATTTACTCGTAACATGCATTATTTTAACAAAATAATTGATGTATTTTCTATAGATCTCATCGATGGTCAGGTCTTTGCCATCACTCATGTGAACGGATCTGATAGTAAACTTTGGTCTAATTTGTTGAACATTTGCAACAATTTGATTGTTTTTGTGTTTTCTGTACTTCCCATACAAATAATTGCATGAAATTGTGGCCAAAACTCTCCGAACACTATTTAATATAATGTAAGAATAAATTATATATTATTTTTAAAAAAGTAATGAAGTTTCAGTTTCACAAAATTGATTCCCAATTACCTCGTTTTATATTTAATAAGTGATAACATTTGGTGATTTTGCTTGCGATACAATTAATTGGTGCAATTAATTAATAAACATGATTTCATTAACTGATTGATTGATAAATTGATTTAAAATATTTTGATGTTAACAGAAAAAGTAATTTAAAAATACCGGTAAAACAAAATTCAAAAACTATAAAAAAAAATGTCCATAACTTTCACGAGATGTTTACTATAATAGAAATCGGGCTAAAAATGCTTCAATTGATACATAAAATTATTGTTTCTTCCGACATGTATAACTATTGACTTAAAATTGAGTTTGAATTAAGTTTAGTTAATAACTAATGAAAGTGTTGTAAATAGGATTTATTATTAACAAAAGTTAATGAAATCAAGAAATAAGTCAAAAGGGATGATAGAAGTTGATCAGTAAAGTAAGAAAACACGTTTGCATTGAAAATCAGCTTTGGTTGTATTGATTCGTGTATTGAATCAATGAATTCAATTCAATTTGAATTTTGCAATTATTAAAAAATCCATTAAATAACTGAAGAGATAATGGATTGGGGTTTGACTTGAAATTGCAATTTGTTTCTTATATCAAATCTTCGGATAACACTTATATCGAGGACTTCATTGGGATTACAATTATTGCAATAATCTCTCAATTGTTTCACTGAATTAATCGGATTGTCATTCACTCTAACGATAATATCACCACTTCTGATATCAGTGCTATTAATAAACAAATTAAATTAAAATTAATATATTATAAATTATTATTAAATAAAATAAATAATAAATAGTATTACGGAATCGACACTGAATTGGTTTTTAATTTACGCCAAACTAAAATGCCTTCACTTATAAGGCATTCAGAATTTTGGCCAAAAAACTTTGCCCACAAATCCCTCGTCATTGGTTCGACGGCTAATCCCAATGATTTCTCCGCACTATATGTGTATTTCTTTTCCAAAAACAATTTCATTTCGTTTAAAACGTCTGCAAAATCAATGAAATAATTAATTTCAAAAATCTGAATCTATATAATGTGCTCATTATTTAGTGATGTCTAACCCGTGATATCTGCGGCACCGATGGCAAAGTTGTCCCGAAACATCCCAAAACCCGATCCGCCGTAATTAATGCCAACCAACTGTCCACTCATGTTAATTAACGGACCGCCAGAGAAACCTCCGTATTGTGGACACGCGTGGATTATATGAAGACCTGACGGGTCGGGCCAAACCTGATGGTACTCGTAAGTGCCCACACAAAGAGTACGGCCCTCACGACCGGCACTACTGACCACACCATCGAATAAACATCCATCAAGTGAGGGATTTCCGAGTGAGACCACGTATTGGCCATCGCGCGCACTGAATGCTAGCTCAGGGACCCTAATATCATGGGTTTCGGTACATAATGAGTGGACGACCGCTATATCCAACTGCGGACAGCAATACATTATACGCGCAGCTGTTATGTCCTGTGCTATCCCGAGGCCGCGGACGTCCCCGTTGTCGTCCACTTTAAATCGCTCGACAAAGTTTATGCCCTCATCCCCAGCCACGTGACAATTAGTCAGTATATAACCGGTGCCGCCGAGAGCAACACCTGAACCCCACGAATACATGAAATCACCGTTTGGCTCGTCATCCGTAGTGTTATGTATTTTAACAAAATAATTGATGTATTTTTTATAAATTTCATCTATTGTTAGGTCTTTGCCATCACTCATGTCAGCGGATCTGATAGTAAACTTTGGCCTAATTTGTTGAACATTCGCAACAATTTGATTGTTTTGGTGTTTTCTGTATTTTTCATACAAATAATTGGATGAAATTGTGGCCAAAACTATCCGAAGACTATTTGATAAATGTTAAACAATAAATTATAAATTATTGTATTTGTAATTAAAGTAATAAAGTTTGTGAACAATTGATATCCTCTGACCTCGTATTGCATTTAATAAGTGATAACATTGTCTACAATTTTAGTTGCGATACAAATTATTGGATCAATTAATTAAAAAAACATGATTTCATTAACTGATTGATTGATAAATTGATTTAAAATATTTGAATGTTAACAGAAAAGTAATTTAAAAATAAAACAAAATTCATTAAATAAAACAAATGTTTGGTAACTCTCGAGAAAAGTTTTCTGTTATGTTGTCTGAGATATATTTTAATTGTATTTATTGAAAATCATGATAAAATTCAAGAAATATATTTGAATTTTGAAATTATTAAAAAAAACCCATTAAATAACTGAAGAGACAATGGATTGGGGTTTGACTTGAAATCTCAATTTGTTAGTTATATTGAGTTTTCGGACAATAATTATATCGAGGACTTCATTAGGCTTACAATTATCGCAATAATCTCTCAATTGTTTCACAGAATTGATTAATTTGTTGTTCACTCCAACGATAATATCATGATTTTGGATATCATTGCTGATAATAAACGGATTAAAGAAATATTTAAAATCGATATATTTATAAATTATTGCTAAATAAATAATAAAATAGTAGTACAGAGTCGACGATGAAGTGGTCTTTAATTTACTGCAAACTAAAAGCCCTTCATTGAGAGGGCATTTAGTATTTGGTCCGCAAATCTTTGCACACAATTCCTTAGTTAATGGTCTGACCGCTAATCTTAACGATTTCTCCACACTATATGTGTGTCTCTTCTCTGAAAACAGTTTCATATCGTTTAAAACTTCTGTAAAATCAACGAAATAATTAATTTTAAAATTCTTAGCCAATAATGGGCTCAATATTTAGTGATGTCTAACCCGTGATATTTGAGGTATTGATGGCAAAGTTTTCCCGATATGTGCCGTAACCAACTGCACCATAATTGATGCCAACCAACTGTCCACTCATGTTAATCAACGGACCGCCAGAAAAACCTGGAAATATCGTACACGTGTTGCTTATACGAAGACCTGTCGGGTCGGGCCAAACCTGATAATACTCATAAGTGCCCACACAAAGAGTGTGGCCCTCACGACAGGCACTACTGACCACACCATCGCATAGACAATATTCAGGGGGTAGATTCCCAAGAGTCACCACGTGTTGGCCATCGCGCGCATTGAAAGCAAGCTCTAGGGGTCTAATATCGTCCGATTTGTTGCAATCCGAGTAGACGACCGCGATATCTAACTCCGGACAGCTATATATGACCCGTGCCTTTATGTCCTCCTCTATTCCTAGGCCTTGGACTTGACCCGTTTTGTCCGCATTGAATCGCTCGACGTAGACAAACTCCGACTCTCCAACCACGTGACAATTGGTCAGTATATAACCCAAACCCAGAGTCACGCCCGAACCCCACGAATACATAAACTCACCGTTTGGTTTATGTCCGTTTGCGTTATGAACTTCAACAAAACAATTCACGTATTGTTTATAGATCTCATCGATGGTTAGGTCTTTGTTTTGACTCATGAGTGCGGATCTAATAGAAAACTTTGGTCTAATTTGTTGAACATTTGGCATAATTTGTTTGTTTTGATGTTTTCTATACTTTCCATATAAAGAAATTGTGGCCAAAATTATCCGAAGACTATTTGATAAATATTTAACAATTGATTATAAATTATTATATTTGTATTTAAAATACAAGTTTATAAAAAAATTGATTTCAGATTACTTCGTATTGTATTTAATCAATGATAACATTTAGTCATACAATTTTGGTTGAGATACAAATAATTGGTTCAATTATTTAATAAACATAATTTCATTGACTGATTGATTGATAAATTTATTAAAAATATTTGAATGTTAACAGAAAAGTAATTTAAAAATAAAACAAAATTCAATAAATATAACAAATGTTTGGTAACTCTCGAGAAAAGTTTTCTGTTATTAAAATATAGTTAAATGTTTTAATTGTATTTATTGAAAATCATGATAAGATTCAAGAAATATATTTGAATTTTGCAATTATTTAAAAATCCATTAAATAACTGAAGAGACAATGAATTGGGGTTTGACTTGAAATTTCAATTTGTTTTTGATATCATTTTTTCGGACAACAAATATAGTGAGGAATTCATTGGGATTACAATTATGGCAATAATCTCTCAATTCGTTCACAGAATTAATGAGACGGCCGTTCACTCCAACGATAAGATCAAACTCATTGATTTCATTGCTGTTAATAAACCGATTAAATAATAGGGATTACAATTATGGCAATAATCTCTCAATTCGTTCACAGAATTAATGAGACGGCCGTTCACTCCAACGATAAGATCAAACTCATTGATTTCATTGCTGTTAATAAACCAATTAAATAATTAAATTAAAATAAATGTATTAATGTAATAATAGTATTACGGAATCGGCAATGAATTAGCCATAAATTTTCTCAAAACAAAAAGCCCTCGATCTATAGGGCATTGAATATGTGGTCCCATAAACTTTGCCCACAAATCTCTCGTAAATGGTATGACCGCTAATCCCAATGATTTCTCCGCACTATACGTGTATTTCTTCTCCGAAAACACTTTCATATTGTTTAAAACTTCTGTAAAATCAACGAAATAATTAATTTTAAAATTCTTAGCCAATATTTAGTGATGTCTAACCCGTGATATTTGAGGTATTGATGGCAAAATTTTCCCTAAACGTGCCGAAACCGACTCCACCGTAATTGATGCCAACCAACTGTCCACTCATGTTAATCAACGGACCGCCAGAGAAACCGCCAAAAACAGGACACGTGTCGCATATATGAACACCTTTTGGGTCAGTAAAAAGCTTAAAGTACTCGTAATTATCCACACAAAGAGTGCGGCCCTCACGACCCACGCAACTGACGACACCATCGCATAGACAATAATTAGGTGAGGGATTCCCAATACACACCACGTGTTGGCCATCCTGTGTACTAAACGCGAGCTCTTGGAGCTTAATATCGGCCGTTTCGGCACACTTTGAGTGGACGACCGCGATATCAAACCTGGGATCGCAATACATTACTTTTGCTACCGTTATCTCCTCCTCTACTACGGGAACAACGCCGACGTCTCCGTTGTTGTCCACTTTGAATTGCTCGATGTAACAAAACTCCGACTCTCCGACCACATGACAATTGGTCAGTATATAACCGCTGCCCCCGAGACACACACCCGAACCCCACGAAAATATATAATAACCGTTTGGTTTATCGGTATCCGTATTATGTATTTTAACAAAATATTTAGCGTATTGTCTATAGATCTCATCGATGGTTAGGTCTTTGCCATCACTCATGTGAACGGATCTGATAGTAAACTTTGGTCTAATTTGTTGGACATTTACAACAATTTGATTGTTTTTGTGTTTTCTGTACTTTCCATACAAATAATTGGATGAAATTGTAGCCAAAACTATCCGAAGACTATTTGATAAATATTTAACAATAAATTATTGTATTTATATCTAAAGTAATAAAGTTTGTGAACAATTGATTTTCTCTGACCTCGTATTGTATTTAATAAGTGGTAACATTGTCTACAATTTTGATTGTAATCCAAATTATTGGATCTATTAATTAAAAAACATGATTTCATTAACTGATTGATTGATAAATTGATTTATAATATTTGAAAAAGTAATTAAAAATGAAATAAACTTAAAAAACTATTCAAATATTCGCAAATCTCGAGAGATTTTTACCATTATTAAAATTATGCTACAAATGTGCTTTTGTTCAACAAATGTGTCAAATAAATTGGAATTTTTATGTCCATAACTCCATTTTTCAAAAATAAATCCATATAAGAATTCACCATGATGTTGAGAAAACATCGTATAAAATTATAAAATCAAAACTAATATCAATTAAAATTGGGATGAATCTGAATTTTTAATGACATTTTAAATGTTTCCAACCTAGTCACTAACTTTTAGCTAAAATTAGTTTATAAATTTTGATATAGTATTCAAATAAGAATTTTAATTGTCATCAAAAATATTAAATTAAAAAAGAAGTCAAAAGTCATGATAAAACTAAAGAAATGTTATTTGAATTTTGTAATCATTAGGAAATCAGTTAAATAACTGAAGACACAATGGATTGGGGTTTGACTTGAATTTTAATTTGGTTTAAAATATCGAGATTTCGGACAACAGTTATATCGAGAACTTCATTGGGATTACAATTATTGCAATAATTTCTCAATTGTTTCAATGAATTAATCGGATTGCCATTCACTCTAACGATAATATCGTAACTTCTAATATCATTGCTGATAATACAAGTAAATATTTAAATAAAAACATTTACAGGTATTATAAATTAGGGTTAAATTAAATATATGGTAAATTATAAATACGGAATCTGTGATGAATTTGTTGCCAATTTTTCCCAAACAATAAGCCCTTCATTTACAAGCGACTTAGTATTTGGTCCGTAAATCTTTGCCCACAAATCCCTTGTTAATAGTCTGACGGCTAATCCCAATGATTTGTCCGCACTATATGTGCGCCTCTTCTCCGAAAACTGATTCATTTCTTTTAATATATCTGTAAAATCAAAACTAAATTAATTTAAAAAATTTGAGTCAATAGTTGTCTAAATATTTAGTGACATCTAACCCACAATATTTGCTGTACTGATGCCAAAAGTGTCTCGCAGTTCTCCCTCACCAATCGTTACCGACCCGTAATTGATGCCAACCAACTGTCCACTCATGTTAATTACGGGACCGCCAGAGAAACCCCCAAATATGGGACTCGTGTGGTTTAGATGAAAACCATTTGCATCGGCGTAAATCATATGATACTCGTAAGTATCAGTACATAGGGTGCGGCCCTCACGACCCACACAACTGACCACACCATCGGATAGGCAAAAATCGAGACCAACGGGATTACCGATGGACAGCACCTGTTGGCCGTCGCGCGCACTGACTGTCAACTCTTGGAGACTAATGTCGTCCGTTTCGGTACACTTCGAGTGAACGATCGCGATATCAAACTGTGGGCAGCAATACATTACTTTGGCTCCCGTTATCATCTCTCCTATTCCGGGAACCACTCGAATGTCTCCGTTGTTGTCCACGTGGAAGCGCTCGACCAACTTTATGCCCCACTCCCCCACCACATGACAATTGGTCAGTATATAACCGGTGCCCCCGAGACACACACCCGAACCCCACGAATGCATATAATCGCCATCCGCTAACATACCACCAAGTTGATGTATTTTAACGAAATATTTAACATAATTTTTATGGATCTCATCCATAGTTAGGTCTTTGCCATCACTCATGAATGCGGATCTGATTGAGAATTTTGGTCTAATTTGTTGAACATTCCCAACAATTTGATTGTTTTGATGTTTTCTATATTTTTCATATAAATAATTGAATGAAATTGTGGCCAAAATTATCCGAAGACTATTTGATAAATGAAAACATAAGTTATATTTTATTTTTAGCTAAACTAATAAAGTTTGAGATAATTTGATTTCCGATTACCTATTATTATATTTATTAAGTGATAGCATTGCCTACAAATGCCTACAATTATGGTTGCGATATAAATGATTGGTTCAATTAATTAAATTCATTCACTGATTGATAAATTGATTTAAACTATTTTAATGACAACAGAAAATGTAATTAAAGATTGCAACAAAATTCAAAAATTATACAAATACTTACAAATCTCGAGAGATTTATAATATTACTGTTATTTTAGATTTGTTTCTACAAACTTTGTTAAATAATATTCAACACAATATTTACATTGTTTTCACACGTATTTTATTTAATCAATTGTCGAGTTATAAATCAAATTAAATATTGTTTAATAAACATTATGCTAAAAAATATAAAGACATGACATGAAGATACAAATTGCTAAAAAAATTAAAAACAATTATTAATGATTATATAAATGATAGTAAACTTAAAGTTAAAACACAAACCATTTGGATATTAAGGACCAGAAATTTTCTCAAATAAACGGTTATAATTGAAACCAACGGGAAATTTATTCAAGAGATGAACGGTTCCGGGAATACGATATATATCGCCAATGAGATGACCGGTGCGCAGATATTTCAGTCTTAACAGCGCTTCCAACGCCACGGATGTTATCTTCACGTGATTGACCATTAAGTGCTGAATGTGTGGTAAATTCAATGATATATCGACGAAGAATTGGTCAGAAAAATAAGTGAACAATAGGTCATCAATAACACAAACATTGGATACAAAATGTGTCAACCGTTTCAATGTCTTCAACGACTCGGCGCTCGTATTCAATGAGACGTTTGAATCAAATGTTAATTGCAGTCGTTTTAGGCGTTTAAATGAAGTGCCGATTGTTTGCAATACGTTATCAATAGTCGATTCATTAAACAATATCTCAAGACTCTTGAGTTGCGGACATTTGCGACCAATTCGTGACAATAATTGAGACAAAATGGCCTCAGAATTGGTAGTAAACGTCAGTTTGAGACCAAATAATATCTTCATTCGCGACAAATCATCGCTCAGTCTATTAACAATGTCTTCATTAATATCGCACAAAAAAACAAATTCAATTGTCTTTATATTGTTTTTATAGAGATTTGCGAATAAATCAAATGCATTGAAATCATCGGTGATCTCAATTATAGACAATTGTATGTCTTTGAGTCGTTTGAATCGTATCTGACCATCGATTACCAGCGATGATACTCTCGTGATATCAAAAGTGCGATCAATTGTATGCAAATTAACACACATTTCACGCCATTTGACTCGCATTAATGTCACTCTAATTGTTTTCAATTGTTTGGCAAACTTTGCCATAAACTTGTCAAACGTTTCAACACTAATATCGTTGAAATCACTATTAATGTCATTTAAATGATGGCAATATTTGACAAGTAATTCAATGAGAAAATCATTGACATGTCTTTTATATAACCATTCCGTGGTTTCGCAAACACGTGTAATGTTTGGACACTTTTTAACGATTGACTCAAACATTTTATTATCATTTGCGGTATCGCAGAGATTGTCGTCAATAATGAGATCCGATTGAGTGGTGAATACCAATCGATGCCATTGTCTTGAAATGAATTCATATCTGAATCGCTCTTTCAATGGCAGGAAAGACAACAATAATTGGCACAAATCGTCGCCAAATCTATCGAAAGAGTCTTTACTATAGATTGAAGACATTGTTTGCAGAGAAATGAAGAGTTTGTTGAGACAAACGACGGATAAATGGTTTAAAACACGTGTTTGTGATTGAAATGAAGGCACAAATGGTTTGACCGGAAATGCAAACACAGATTGAAGTGAAGGCTAATGAGCGAAATCTCAAACCCGAACCCGAGTTAAACCCGAACCCAACCCGAACCCTTTAGGGTTCGGGTCGGGTTCGGGCGTGCTTTGTAAAATTCGGGTTGGGTTCGGGTTTGGGTTTGAGCCAATGTAAACCCGAACCCGAATCAAACCCTAAACCCAAAAGTAAACCCTATACTCAAAATACATGCGTGAACTCATACAAGTGTTATTTTGTAGCATATATAATTATTAATATAATCAAAATAAGTTAAAAAGTATTGTGTTATAGTTTAAAAGTGGCAGCAGATAAACAAAACGCCATAAATGCAATGAAACGATTGTAAAGCATACTTTACTGTAATATTTTTTGGGTTTAGGGTTCGGGTTGGGTTGGGTTTGAAATTTGGATCTAGGGTTCGGGTCGGGTTCGGGTCGAGTCAATTCGGGTTCGGGTTGGGTCGGGTCGACGATTTTGTCGACATTTCGGTCACTAGTGAAGGCCAAAGGGTTTGAAAGTACAGTAGACATTCGGTTTTGACACTTTTACGGTGCTGTTAAAAATGTGTGTTAAAATCGAATTCTGTCAAAATCGGGTGCTTTAACAGTACTAATATCGCTCGTCGGTGCTAACAAAATGTTATGTTAAAACCGGATTCTGTTAAAATCGCGCCTGTCAAAACCGAATGTCTACTGTATTTCTCAATTCAACGCCTATTTTGCATAAATCCATACAAACAGTGCTTTCAATGCATTTTATGCGCAAAATTCAATTTAATAAATCACTTTCAATGAGTTGTTTGTATTCAACACATTATTTACACCTAATTTCACACATATTTTGGTTCAAAGGTATAACATTTAAAAAGTTACTTAATTAAGAAAATCGTATTAAATATCAATCTATTGTTTTTCTACGAAATTATTATTATATAAAATTGCAATTTTAATAATTATTTTACGGATTGTTTTGAATAGTACTCAAAATCCATGGCATTGCATAGGAAATGGATGCGGCGAACGCTCTCCGTTTGGCGCACACATCGCCGGACCCGATGTGAATCACTTGACTCACACCCAACACAATCGCCTGAGTTCTCAACCGGTTATTATAGCGGACCCAACCGGCGCCAGAATCACCCTTTCATTCATACAAATGTAAAACAACATGGTTTGAAATTATATTGTGAGCTCTACTGACACGCGTGTGCTTACCATACATATCCTGCCTTTGATAGACTCGGCGCAGAGAGTCTTAGGCCCGCCGTAAGTAAAATCACACCGAAGGCCAGTGACAGAGTCCTGGAGCCAAAGGCCGAGTTCAGCCTTATGTAAGTAAGGGCTAAAAGACTTGTCGTTAGCCGTATAACCGAAACCAAAAACAGTCATATTTCCCGAAATGAACGTACGATTCGTTTCCGGCAGACATACGGTGTTTATAGAGTAGTGTCTCTTTAGGGTGCGGTCCCGGAGTCGAGTAAAGGGTCGGTCCGTTTGAAACAAACCCACGTCCAAACCGCCCGACGCCTTGAATGATTGGTTCACGTATCGGGTTTGAAAACCGACGCCCAGGAAGGGTGAGGCTCTTATTGCCCAATGTCCGTACCATAACCTGACATCTATGCAATGACCTGACGTTAAGACCCAATTCATGGCAATCAATACACCGGAACATAAGTCAGCGTCCATTCCATGTACTCTTAATTGAATACTAACTGCCCATGGTGCTTGCAATGGCTTACCCGACACCACAGCTACTTCGCCATCCGCTACACGGCTTGAAGTGATGTCCGGTTCGTTCATAAAATAGTAGACCTCTTCGTCCAGTATTTGTATCATTGAATGATTGGTTTGAAAGCATTTCGTTGGAAAACTTATATTAACTAAAATCGGTTCATATCTTAGACCGCATTCATTGGTATTTATGCCATATTTCTGGTGATTCTTGTAATCGCCTTTTGATACAAACTCTGCATTCATTTTTGCAGTCAATTGTGAGATAATAAATATCTTTACAATCATAAATATGTTAAATATACCTATTCTGCTTTAATATGATTAAAAGTACATAAATGCAACTGTTTGCCTTTAAAATCTTTATGTTCAATTTTAACAATTAGTGTATTAAAGTGTTTATAATTAATTATTAAAATATGTTAAATTTACATTATTATAAAGGAGGACCGGCAAAGCGGCCCAAGTTTGCAATCGGGATTTGACCATATAACATGAATGTACATGGAATAAGGAGTCCCCTGATATAGTCCATATATCTGAGCCACCTCGGGATCGGCCGCAGTGACCACTTTTATTAAGAAAATTCAACTTATCCAATACTAACGTGATATATAAAATTGATGTAGAATTTAATGTAGAACTAGAATCTCGCAATATCACATCGGTGGGGTCAATAGATTTTTTGTTATTTACTTAATACGGTTGATATTTAGATAAAATTAGTAAAATAACTTATTATTCCTCAACCCATATTATCTACGCCAACACCACACACATCCCAAGGCCACTTTCAACACTCTTAACCCAATAGTCACTACCATTAATTGCGGCATAAAAGTAAATTAAAATTACGTTAAATCTATGCACCCTATCGAGATGTTATTACGATATTCTACTTCGACTGTATAACATTAGACTATCTATTGAGTCAAATTGTTGTAAATTTAACATATTTCAATAATTAATTATAAACACTTTAATACACTAATTGTTAAAATTGAACATAAAGATTTTAAAGGCAAACAGTTGCATTTATGTACTTTTAATCATATTAAAGCAGAATAGGTATATTTAACATGTTTATGAAAAAAATCCTGAAGTACGTCTCACGTCATAATTCATTTTAAACAAATTACTATATAGTTAATGATAAACATTTGGTATATAGTTTATCATAATCAAGTAATTTTTGAGTTATTATAACTTTGAATCTCTCATAGAAAGCATTATAATACTTAATTCCATTTCATTTTGTTTAATTAAATTGTAATCAAAATTATAAAGTGTTTCGTTGATTAAAATAAAGACTAAATTAAATGCAATGAAGAGTTTGTGAGACTTAATAGACAAAATGCAGTGCATTCAGGGCTACTATAATAAGGGATGCAGGAGAAGGGTTAAAGCTGTGCAGTAGTAGGCAAAAGTAGGCGTGTCGGTTTACAGTAAAATCATCTCTGATTGTGAGACTTAATAGACAAAATGCAGTGCATTCAGGGCTACTATAATAAGGGATGCAGGAGAAGGGTTAAAGCTGTGCAGTAGTAGGCAAAAGTAGGCGTGTCGGTTTACAGTAAAATCATCTCTGTCCATACAAACAGTGCTTTCAATGCATTTTATGCGCGAAATTCAATTTTGAGATCACTTTCAATGAGTTGTTTGTATTCAACACATTATTTACACCTAATTTCACACATGTTTTGATTCAAAGGTAAAACATTTAAAAAGTTACTTAATTAAGAAAATCGTATTTAAATATCAATCTATTGTTTTTCTACGAAATTATTATTATATACAATTAAAATTTTAATCATTAATTTATGGATTGTTTTGAATAGTACTCAAAATCCATGGCATTGCATAGGAAATGGATGCGGCGAACGCTCTCCGTTTGGCGCACACATCGCCGGACCCGATATGAATCACTTGACTCACACCCAACACAACCGCCTGAGTTCTCAACCGGTTATTATAGCGGACCCAACCGGCGCCAGAATCACCCTTTCATTCGTACAAATGTAAAACAACATGATTTGAAATTTATATTGTGAGCTCTACTGACACGCGTGTGCTTACCATACATATCCTGCCTTTGATAGACTCGGCACAGAGAGTCTTAGGCCCGCCGTAAGTAAGATCACACCGAAGGCCAGAGACAGAGTCCTGGAGCCAAAGGCCGAGTTCAGCCTTATGTAAGTAAGGGCTCACAGTCTTGTTGTTAGCCGTATAACCGAAACCAAAAACCGTCATATTTCCCGAAATGAACGTACGATTCGTTTCCGGCAGACATACGGTGTTTATAGAGTAGTGTCTCTTTAGGGTGCGGTCCCGGAGTCGAGTAAAGGGTCGGTCCGTTTGAAACAAACCCACGTCCAAACCGCCCGACGCTTTGAATGATTGGTTTACGTGTCGGGTCTGAAAGCCGACGCCCAGGAAGGGTGAGGCTCTAAACACCCAATGTCCGTACCAGGGCCTATATAAATGCATTTACACAAACATCAGATCAAATAGTTTAACCTTATGTTATCACATACTCATCTATGCAATGGGCGGACGTTAAGACCCAATTCATGGCAATCAATGCACCGGAACATAGGTCAGCGTCCATTCCATTTACTATTAATTGAATGCTAACTACCCATGGTGCTTGCAATGGCTTACCCGACACCACAGCTACTTCGCCATCCGCTACACGGTTTGAAGTGATGTCCGGTTCGTTCATAAAATAGTAGACTTCTTCGTCCAGTATTTGTATTATTGAATGATTGGTTTGAAAGCATTTCTTAGGAAAACTTATATCAACCAAAACGCCAAGTATAGAATCTGGCGTAAGTAACCATAAATACGGTATAAAGACCACTAAGAACATTAGCGGAAAACTATGTTTGAGACGTAAGTAAAAACGTCAGTTAACACTCTATTATTTATAGAAATGTATGAAATCAATTGGAAATAATTTATTCATATTTAAAGTCAAACACAAATATATTTCTAAGAAATGACAATAAAACGTTGAGATGGTTTTTATATGTTTAATTATAACTGTTAGTCCAATGATAATTTTCAATTATTTTCTATTATTAAAACTCAAGAGGGAAACAATGTTAAAATTGTAAAACATTTAATAACTATTCAATTTAATTAATTTGCATTTTTTTAAAACTTTCACTATTCACTTATTTTCAATGGTGTTATTATAAAAATTAGGAGTAAAATACGTAATTTAATATAACTAGTAATTTATTAATTAGAGTATTTACAGTATATTATGGATTGTTTGCAATGGTATCCAAAATCCATTGTATTTCAAGTGATACAGAGACAGCAAATGCTCTGCCAGTACTGCAAAAACTGGTTCTTTCTGCATGTGAATTGATGCCCAACACTATGGCCTGAGTCCCGTACCGGTCGTTATATCGAAACCAACCGCCGCCCGAATCACCCTTTCATTCATACAAACATCACATTAATATGTTATTTAAAACTTGTGGCGATTATACCTGACATAAGCGGCCTTTGATTGATTTGGAACAGAGGATATTCTTGCCATAACTCATATCACACACCACGGGGACATAGGGCGGTAGATAATCCACCCAATCATAAACCCACAATCCCAGTATAGCTTTCTGTAGTTTATCGGATTGCGAGCCGTCGTCTCCGGTGTATCCGAAGCCAAAAGCCGTCACATTTCCCGAATCGAACGTAAGGTTCATTTCTGGCAGACAAACGGTGTTTATAGAGTAGTGTCTCTTTAGAGTTCGGTCCCGGAGTCGAGTAAAGGGTCGGGCGGTTTGAATCAAAGCCAAGTCCGCACCGCTCGACGAGTTAAATGTCTGGTTCACGTGTCGGGTCTGAAAGCCGCGGCTGACAAAGGGTGAGGCCTTTATCACTAATTTTCCACTCGGATAACTAAAATATATAATTTTAATATGCATTTAATTTAACAACAATTTACTAATCTATATATTGTATTATTATTTACTCTTCTAAACAATGAGCGGCCGTTAAAATCCAATTCATCGCAATCAATACACCCGAACAACTCTCGGAGTCTATGATATTGAGAAATCTAACGTGAATACTAACTGCCCATGGTGCTTGCAATGGTTTGCCAGACACCACTGCGTCTTCACCATCCGCTATACGGTTTGAAGTGATGTCCGGTTCGTTCATATAATAGTAGACCTCTTCGTCCAGTATTTGTATCATTGAGTGATTGGTTTGAAAGCATTTCTTCGGATAATTTATATCAACTAAAATTGGTTCATATCTTAGACCGCATTCATTGGTATTTATGCCATATTTCTGGTGACTTTTGTAATTGCCTTTCGATACAAACTCTGCATTCATTTTTGCAATCAATTGTGAGATAATAAATATCTTAACAATAAAATCAATTGGAAATAATTGATTCATATTTAAAGTCAAACACAAATATGACTTTTGTAATTGCCTTTCGATACAAACTCTGCATTCATTTTTGCAATCAATTGTGAGATAATAAATATCTTAACAATAAAATCAATTGGAAATAATTGATTCATATTTAAAGTCAAACACAAATACGTTTGTGAGAAAATTATAATCAAAATTAAATTCATAAATTAGTTACTTTTAAAAAAATATTAAAACTCGAGATATTAATAATGTAAAAGTTTATAAATTGAACAATATTTTTATTAACTTTTGATTATTATATTTTATTAACTTTATATTTTATTAATTTTATACTTTTCATGTTTGTTTTTGTAATTGAATTAATTAATAAATTTGTTATTGATATGTATAATAAAATTTGTAGAAAGATCGTAATAAAGTTTTATATAAATTTTATTTAATTATGAAATATTGTTTGCAATGGTATCCAAAATCCATTGCATTTCATGCGATACAGAAACGGCAACTGCAAACCGTCTGCCGCACAGAACACCTTTTGAATCCCCTCTTATATGAACGCCTAATACGACTGCTTGAGTGCCGAACCGGTCGTTATATCGGATCCAACCGCTGCCCGAATCACCCTTTTATTGACACAAACATAACATTAATAACTTATTTAAAACTTGTGGCGATTATACCTGACATGACCGACCTTTGATATATTTGGCACACATCTGCCCATAACTCAGATAACACACCCGGTAATCCCACGGATAGTAAAACCACAATCCCAGTATAGCTTTCTGTAGTTTATCGGATCGCAAGCCGTCGTCTCCGGTGTATCCAAAACCAAAAACCGTAACATTTCCTGAACTAAAATTTCGATTCATTTCCGGCAGACATACGGTGTTTATAGAGTAGTGTCTCTTTAGGGTTCGGTCCCGGAGTCGGTCAAAGGGTTGGTCCGTTTGAATCAAAGCCAAGTCCGCACCGCTCGACGCCTTAAATGTCTGGTTTACGTGTCGGGTCTGAAAGCCGCGACTGGCAAAGGGTGACGCCTTTATCACTGTATTTGCAATCAAAGAACTAAAATATATGGTTTTAATATGCATTTAATTTAATAACAATTTATTAATCTTTATATTATTATTATATTATATTACTTACTCTTTTAAACAATGAGCGGCCGTTAAAATCCAATTCATCGCAATCAATACACCCGAACAACTATATGAGTCAAAAGTATTGAGAAGTCTAAAGTGAATGCTAACTGCCCATGGTGCTTGCAATGGTTTGCCAGACACCACAGCGTCCTCGCCATTCGTTATACGACTTGAAGTGATGTCCGGTTCGTTCATATGATAGTAGACCTCTTTGTCCAGTGTTTGTATCGTTGAATGATTGGTTTGAAAGCATTTCTTCGGATAATTTATATTAACTAAAATCGGTTCATATCTTAGACCGCATTCATCGATATTTATGCCATATTTCTGGTGATTCTTGTAATCGCCTTTCGATACAAACTCTGCATTCATTTCTGCAGTCAATTGTGAAATAATAAATATCTTTACAATAAAATCAATTGGAAATAATTTATTCATATTTAAAGTAAAACACAAATACGTTTGTGAGAAATGGCAACAAAACGTTGAAATTGGTTTCATCTAATTATAACTCTGAGTCTAACAATAGTTAATACAAATTTAAATTATTTTTCTATTATTAAAACTCAAGAGAGAAACAATGTTAAAATTGTAAAACATACCTAGTCAATTTAATTAAGTTTTATTTTTTGTTTCTGGTTTACTTTCACAATTCACTTATTTTCAATGGCGTTATTATAAAAATTAAGAGTAAAATAAGTAATTTTATATAACTAGTAATTTATTAATTAGTATATTTATATTATGAATTGTTTGCAATGGTATCCAAAATCCATTGTATTTCAGGCAATACAGAGACAGCATATGCTCTGCCAGTACTGCAAAATTTACTGAATGGTTCCGATTCTGAATGGATGCCCAACACTATAGCCTGAGTCCCGTACCAATCGTTATATCGAATCCAACCGCCGCCCGAATCACCCTTTCATTCATACAAACATAACATTAATAACTTATTTAAAACTTGTGTCGAATATACATGACATAAGCGACCCTTAATAGATTTGGCACACATATGATTCGTGGCAATACTCTGGTCACACACCCGGAGGTCCCATGAATCAAAAGACCACAATTCTAGTATAGCTTTATGTAGTTTATCGGATCGCGAACCGTCGTCTCCGGTGTAACCGAAACCAAATACCGTCACATTTCCAGAACTAAAATTTTTATTCATTTCCGGCAGACATACAGTGTTTATAGAGTAGTGTCTATTTAGGGTTCGGTCCCGGAGTCGAGTAAAGGGTCGGTCAGTTTGAATCAAACTAATGTCCGCACCGCTCGACGAGTTAAATGTTTGGTTAATATGTCGGGTCTGAAAGCCAGCGCTTCTGTACGGCGACGCTCTTAACACATATTTCCCGTACCAACGGCTATATTATTAATACAACCAAATTATTGAAGATATTTGTATCACAATTTCCTGTAGTACACCTAATAATGTGTAAAGATACATGTATATACCTATCAATACAATGTGCGGCCGTTAAGATCCAATTCATAGCAATCAATACACCGGAACAGTCCTCGTAGTCTAAAATATTAAGAAGTCTAAAGTGAATGCTAACTGCCCATGGTGCTTGCAATGGTTTGCCAGATACCACAGCATCTTCACCATCCACTATACGGCTTGAAGTGATATCCGTTTCGTTCATATGATTATAGACCTCTTTGTCCAGTATTTGTATCATTGAATGATTGGTTTGAAAGCATTTCTTTGGATAACTTATATTAACTAAAATCGGTTCATATCTTAGACCGCATTCATTGGTATTTATGCCATATTTCTGGTAATTCTTGTAAACGCCTTTCAATACAAACTCTGCGTTTAATAGTGCAGTCAATTGTGAAATAATAAATATCTTTACAATGAAATCAATTGGAAATAATTCATTCATATAAGTGATGGAAAAAAGAAAATGCGCTTATTGGCGTGCAACTAAAATTGTTTTATACTTAAAGTACTTAACTTTAAGCAAAGTTGTAATTGTCATAATAATCATCAGTTATCACTTATTATATCACCAAATTTTCAAATTTTTATTCAACAAATTAACTTGATTTTTAGGCAATAAACAACTACAGCCTCGATTTGAGGACCTCTGCAACTTTTAATGCCATTCCTTTAACAAACAACAAACGTGATAGGAGTCGGTGGGAATCGCAAGGGGGTATATGGGGGTATAGGGCAGGGTTGGTATAGAATTTATATCCCCTGTATTTAAAATGTTTTGATTGGTTAATTTTTTAAACGCATTTGTGGTAGGTCTTTTTAGGTACTGAAATCGTACAAAAACCAATTTTCTTGGTCTGAACCTTTTCCTGATCATTTGTATATGATCTCAAATTGTTTGTTTCCCGCATCTCCATTGTATGAACATATTCTAGGCAGATATTTTTGACATGGGTCTCTCATATCAGTTTGACCATTACCGACGGGTGGCCAGCATTGGCTGATAATTACTACGATGATCCTGGTCGTTAAGAATTTTTAACTATCACAATCATTGATACTCATTTAAACAATTTTTATCATATATAGTTTTGATTTTTCCAGGAACAATTTTGTAAAATACAACATTATTAAATTTCTACAAAATTAGTGTTGAAAATTGGCGATGTTCGGAGATTTACTGGTCATCAATGGAAAATGCCAATAAATTTTTGTTTACAGTAAAATGATTTTACATTATTATATTTTTACACAAGGATATAATCCATAAACTGGGCACATCATTTACTGGAGAAATAATTAATTTACGTTCATACTATAAAAGCGCATTTTCTTTTTTCCACCACTTATATTTAAAGTAAAACACTAATACGTTGGTGAGAAAATTATAATCAAAATTAAATTTATAAATTAATTATTTTAAAATAAATATTAATACTCGAGATATAAATAATGTAAATGTTTATAAATTGAATAATATTTTTATTAACTTTTGGTTTTTATATAAACTTTATTATTTTTCTACTTTTCATGTTTGTTTTTGTAATTGAATTAATTAATAGTTATTGATATGTATAATAAAATGTTGTAAAAAGATAGTATTTACGCAGTCAACAAAATCTGTCGCTGCGGTTTTTGTGATTACAGCTAAACTAGAAGAGCTAGATCACATCTGTAAAAAGTAAAATGAAGGTCCACGTGTCTAGTTTTTTGTATCAAAAAATTATTCAAATCACGTGACCACAACACAGAAATTTTTGGGTCAAATCGATTTGCCATGTTTTTTGCCCACCTCGAGGGGGGCTAGGGAGGGGGCGGGTATGCTAATCTTTAGAGGAGATGTCAAAGACTATGATAGCAAAGTTTCATAAAAATCAAGTGAATAGTCTTTCGTAGGGAACAAAATATTCGAGAAATTTGACCCAATATTTGGACAAAAATAGCCCAATTTTGACCTTTTTATACTACATTTTCGTTGTTATAAAAAGTCAACTTCAGAACCATTTTTCCCCATAGACGTAATGTTAATAAAATTAACAATTTCTCGTAGATGGCTAGAAGAATTTCAATCAAACTTTGCTATCATAGTCTTTGACATCTCCTCTAAAGATTAGCATACTCGCCCCCTCCCTAGCCCCCCTCGAGGTGGGCAAAAAACATGGCAAATCGATTTGACCCAAAAATTTCTGTGTTGTGGTCACGTGATTTGAATAATTTTTTGATACAAAAAACTAGACATGTGTAATCGCCTTTCGATACAAACTCTGCATTCATTTCTGCAGTCAATTGTGAGATAATATATATCTTTACAATGAAATCAATTGGAAATAATTTATTTATATTTAAATAAAACATAAATTCGAAAAATTATAATCAAAATTAAATTCATAAATTAATTATTTTTAAATAAATATTAGAACTCGAGATATAAAAATAATGTATTGTAAATGTTTATAAATTGAATTATTTTTTTATTGACTTTTGATTTATATAAGAACTCTTATTTTCTACTTTTCGTGTTTGTTTTTATAATGGAATTAATTAATAATTATTGATATTTATAATAAAATGTTGTGAAAAGATCGTAATAAAGTTTTATATAAATTTTTCTTAATTATGAAATATTGTTTGAAATAGTATTCAAAATCCATTGCATTTCATGCGATACAGAGACGGCTATTTCCCGCCGTTTGCTGCACACAACACCTTTTGAATCCCCTCTTGAATAGACGCCTAATACGACTGCTTGAGTGCCGAACCGGTCGTTATATCGGATCCAACCGCTGCCCGAATCGCCCTTTCATTCATACAAACATAACATTAATAATTGATTTAAAACTTGTGGCGATTATACCCCACATAAGCGACCCTTCATAGATCTGGCACACATGTGATTCTTGCCATAACGCAGATCACACACATAGTGGTCCACCGGATCATAAGACCACAATTCTAGTATAGCTTTCTGTAGTTTATCGGATCGCGACCTGTCGTCTCCGGTGTATCCGAAACCAAATACCGTCACATTTCCCAAATCAAAAGTCCGATGCATTTCCGGCAGACATACGGTGTTTATAGAGTAGTGTCTCTTTAGTGTGCGGTCCCGGAGCCGAGTAAAGGGTCGGTCCGTTTGAATTAAAGTCACGTCCGCACCGCTCGACGAGTTAAATGTTTGGTTAATATGTCGGGTCTGAAAGCCTCGGCTGGCAAAGGGTGAGGCCCTTATTACAAATTTTCCACTCCAATGACTAAAATATATAGTTTTGATATGCATTTAATTTAACAATTTACTAATCTAAATATTGTATTATTATTTACTCTTCTACACAGTGAGCGGCCGTTAAAACCCAATTCATAGCAATCAAAACACCGGAACAATACTTATGGTCAATAGTATTAAAAAGTTTAAAGTGAACACTAACTGCCCATGGTGCTTGTAATGGTTTGCCAGATACCACAGCGTCCTCGCCATCCGCTACACGGCTTGAAGTGATGTCCGGTTCGTTCATATGATTGTAGACTTCTTTGTCCAGAATTTGTATCATTGAATGATTGGTTTGAAAGCATTTCTTCGGATAACTTATATTAACTAAAATCGGTTCATATTTTAGACCGCATTCATTGGTATTTATGCCATATTTCTGGTGATTCTTGTAATCGCCTTTCGATACAAACTCTGCATTCATTTCTGCAGTCAATTGTGAGATAATAAATATCTTTACAATGAAATCAATCAAAAATAATTTATTCATATTTAAAGTCAAACACAAATTCGTTTGTAAGAAATGACAACAAAACGTTGAATTGGGTTTTATTTAATTATAACTGTTAGTCAAACAAATTTAAATTATTTTCTATTATTAAAACTCAAGAGAGAGAAACAATGTTAAAATTGTAAAATATTTACAGTTTTTATGTACTAACTAGTCAATTTAATTAAGTTTCATTTTTTGTTTTTATTTTACTTTACAATTCTTTTATTTTCGATGTGGTTATTATAAAAATTAAGAGTAATTTTGTGTAAGTGGTAATTTATTCATTAGTATATTTATATTATGTATTGTTTGCAATGGTATCCAAAATCCATTGTATTTCAGGCGATACAGAGACAGCATACACTCTGCCAGTACTGCAAAATTTACTAAATATTTCCGATTCTGAATGGATGCCCAACACTATAGCCTGAGTCCCGTACCAATCGTTATATCTAATCCAACCGCTGCCAGAATCACCCTTTCATTGACACAAACATAATATTAATAACTTATTGAAAACTTGTGGCGATTATACCTGACATAAGCGACCCTTAATAGATTTGCCACACATATGATTGTTGCCAATTCTCTGGTCACACACCTTGAGGTCCCATGGATCAAAAGACCACAATTCTAGTATAGCATTATGTAGTTTGTCGGATCGCGAACCGTCGTCTCCGGTGTAACCGAAACCAAAAACCGTAACATTTCCTGAACTAAAATTTTTATTCATTTCCGGCAGACATACGGTGTTTATAGAGTAGTGTCTCTTTAGGGTTCGGTCCCGAAGTCGGTCAAATGGTCGGTCCGTTTGAATCAAAGCAATGTCCGCACCGCTCGACGAGTTAAATGTTTGGTTAATATGTCGCGTCTGAAAGCCGGCGCTTCTGTACGGCGACGCTCTTAACACATATTTTCCATATAAACGGCTATATTATTAATACAACCAAATTATTGAAGGTATTTGTATCACAATTTCTTGCAGTACTTCCAATAATGTATAAACATATATCACATATATTATTATATACCTATCAATACAATGTGCGGCCGTTAAGATCCAATTCATGGCAATCAATACACCGGAACAGTCCTCGTAGTCTAGAATATTAAGAAGTCTAAAGTGAATGCTGACTGCCCATGGTGCTTGCAATGGTTTGCCAGATACCACAGCATTTTCACCATCCACTATACGGCTTAAAGTGATGTCCGGTTTGTACATATGATAGTAGACTTCTTTGTCCAGTATTTGTATCATTGAATGATTGGTTTGAAAGCATTTCTTCGGATAATTTATATTAACTAAAATCGGTTCATATCTTAGACCGCATTCATTGGTATTTATGCCATATTTCTGGTAATTCTTGTAATCGCCTTTTGATACAAACTTGGTTTTCAATTTTGCAGTCAATTGTGAGATAATAAATATCTTTACAATGAAATCAATTGGAAATAAGTTATTCATATTTAAAGTAAAACATAAATTCATTTGTGAGAAATTAAAATAAAACGTTTAAATGGTTTTAATTTAATTATAACTGTTAGTCGAATTAATAAAAAATAATTACTACAAATTTAAATTATTTTCTATTATTAAAACTCATAAAAGAAACAATGTTATAAGAATAAAATTGTAAAACATTTAATAAGTAATCAATTTAAATAATTTGCATTTTTGTTTTTATTTTACTTTCATAATTCACTTATTTTCAATGGCGTTATTATAAAAATTAAGAGTAAAATAAGTAATTTTATAGAAGTGGTAATTTATTATCTAAAATAATTAGTATATATTTAAATTATGTATTGTTTGCAATGGTATCCAAAATCCATTGTATTTCATGCGATACAGAGACGGCATATGCTCTGCCAGTACTGCAAAATTCACTGACTCTTTCGGATTTTGAATGGATGCCCAACACTACCCCTTCAGTCCCGTACCGGTCGTTATAACGTATCCACCCGCCGCCAGAATCGCCCTTTAATTTATACAATTATCAAATTAACACCATGTTCAAATACTTATGACTACTATACTTGACATAACCGGCCTTTGATAGACGAGCCGCAGATTGTATTATTGCCGTAATTAATAGCACACCACTGGTCAGACATCACATCATAGGACCAGAGCTCTAGTATAGCTTTCTGTAGTTTATCGGATGTCAAATCGTCGTCTCCGGTGACTCCGAAACCAAAAACCGTCACATTTCCAGAACTAAAATTCTTATTCATTTCCGGCAGACATACGGTGTTTACAGAGTAGTGTCTCTTTAGGGTGCGGTCCCGGAGTCGGTCAAAGGGTCGACCCGTTTGAATCAAACCCACGTCGGATTCGTTGGACGCTATAAATGTCTTCATGTATCGCGTTTGAAAGCCTGCGCTCTTATACGGCGAGGCCCTTATCACCCATTGTTTACTCCAATGGCTAAACCATACATTTTATTATAATTTGGTATAAATAATATTATTATTATATGTAATTATCTCTCTATAAATAGTATTATCATTTACTCATGTAAACAATGGGCGGCCGTTAAGACCCAATTCATTGCAATTAATACACCGGAACACAGGTCTGTGCTAATAACGCCCAGTGCTCTGAAATGAATACTAACTGCCCATGGTGCTATTAGGGGTTTACCCGACATCACTGCGTCCTCGCCATCTGTTATACGACTTGAAGTGATGTCCGGTTCGTTCATATGATAGTAGACTTCTTTGTCCAGTGTTTGAAGTATTGAGTGATTGGTTTGAAAGCATTTTTGTGGATAATTTATATTAACTAAAATCGGTTCATATCTTAGACCGCATTCATTGGTATTTATGCCATATTTCTGGTGATTCTTATAATCGCCTTTCGATACAAACTCTGCGTTCAATAGTGCAGTCAATTGTGATATAATAAATATTTTTACAATAAAATCAATTAGAAATAATTTATTCATATTTAAAGTCAAACACAAATATATTTTTGAGAAAATTATAATCAAAATTAAATTTACAAATTAAATATTTTTAAATAAATATTAAAACTCGAGATTTAAATAATGTAAATGTTTATAAATTGAATACTATTTTTATATAGATTTATATCTATTCATGAAGTATTGTTTGCAATGGTATCCAAAATCCATTGTATTTCATACGATAAATTGACGGCAATTGAAGTCCTTTTACTACACCCCGTAGAGACCCGATCAGAACCTTTATGAATGCCAATAACCACCGCTTGAGTCCCGTACCGGTCGTTATACTGAACCCAACCGCCGCCCGAATCACCCTTTAATTCATACAAAAACAAAATTATTAACTCGTTTGAAAACTTATACTGTATTTGTGCCAAAAATCTACTCGACAGGTACGGCCTTTGATAGACGAGGCGCACAGCCTATTATAGTCAGGGACTTTACAAAACACGACTGATACCAAATCAATGGCCCACAGCTTTAGTATAGCTTTCTGTAGTTTATCGGATTGCCAGCCCTTATCACTGATATAACCGAAACCAAAAACCGTCACATTTCCCGAAGTAAACGTACGATTTATTTGCGGCAGACATACAGTGTTTATAGAGTAGTGTCTCTTCAATACGCGGTCACGGAGTCGGCCAAAGGGTCGGTCCGTTTGAATCAAAGCCAAATCCGCACCGCTTGACGAGTTAAATGTCTGGTTCACGTGTCGGGTCTGAAAGCCGGCGCTGGCAAAGGGTGAGGCCCTTATCGCTGTTTTTCCAATCAAAGAGCTATACGTATAAATTATAAATTAATAAATACTAATTAGTAAATTGAATTATAATTTACCTGTCAATACAATGGGCAGCCGTTAAGACCCAATTCATTGCAATTAATACACCTGAACACAGGTTTGTGCTGATAACGCCTAGTGCTTTGAAGTGGATGCTAACTGCCCATGGTGCCTGTAATGGTTTACCCATCACCACAGCTTCCTCACCATCCGCTATACGGCTTGAAGTGATGTCCGGTTCGTTCATATGATAGTAGACCTCTTTGTCCAGTGTTTGTATCATTGAATGATTGGTTTGAATCGTAAAGAAGCCTATTAAATATAATTGATTTTAGCCAAGTATAGAATCTGGCGTAAGTAACCATAAATACCCATATTTCTGGTGATTCTTGTAATCGCCTTTCGATACAAACTTGGTATTCAATTTTGCAGTCAATTGTGAGATAATATATATCTTTACAATGAAATCAATTGGAAATAATTTATTCATATGTAAAATCACAAACAAATACATTGGTAAGAAATGGCTGTAAAAATTTAAAATTAATTTTATGTAATCATAACTGTCTTTATAACTGAAAAACAATTATAAAATCCAAAAATTAATTATTTTAAAATAAAAGTTAAAACGCAAGAAATAAATAATGCAAAACATTTGTTAAAATACCTATTGTTATCATTTGTTATATAATGTTATCGATAACCAGAAAATTATTAACAAAATGCTTTTATTATCTAATAACATTTTTATTTACTGTATTTTATTCAATTTTTGTTGCGCTATTTTCTCATAATATTAATATTAATATACTTATTTTTTGTTATAATACATTTCTATGGGAATTTATGAAAATGCTTGTTAAAATGAATGTCAAAACTAAATAATTCTAAAGTAATTCTAACTAATTCTTTATAAAAATTACTAAATATTTATGAAGGATTGTTTGCAATGGTATCCAAAATCCATTGCATTTCATGCGATACATTAATGGCAAATGATGTCCTATTACTGCACAAACCGCGAATATCAGAACTTTTATGGATCCCAATAACCACCGCTTGAGTCCCGTATCGGTCGTTATACTGAACCCAACCGCCGCCCGAATCACCCTTTAATTCATACAAATATACAATTATTAACTCGTTTTAAAACTTGTGCTGTATTTGTGCCAAAAATCTACCCGACAAGTGCGGCCTTTGATAGACGAGGCGCACAGTCTATTATAGTTGGGGACTTTGCACAACACAACTGACACAGAATCAAAGGCCCAGAGTTCTAGTATAGCTTTCTGTAAATTATCGGATTTCCGGCCCTTTTCACTGACATAACCAAAACCAAAAACAGTCGCGTTTCCCGAAGTGAACGTACGATTCATTTGCGGCAGACATACAGTGTTTATAGAGTAGTGTCTCTTTAGGGTTCGGTCCCGAAGACGATCAAAGGGTCGGTCCGTTTGAAGTAAAGTCAAACCCGTCCCACCGCTCGACGATCTAAATGATTCATTTGCGGCAGACATACAGTGTTTATAGAGTAGTGTCTCTTTAGGGTTCGGTCCCGAAGACGATCAAAGGGTCGGTCCGTTTGAAGTAAAGTCAAACCCGTCCCACCGCTCGACGATCTAAATGTTTGGTTCACGTGTCGAGTCTGAAAGCCGCGGCTGGCAAAGGGTGACGCTCTTATCACTGTATTTGCAATCCAAAAGCTGTACAAATGAATTCACATCAATAAATACTAATTTGTAAATTGTATTATCATTTACTTATCTACACAATGGGCGGCCGATAAGACCCAATTCATTGCAATTAATACACCGGAACACAGGGCGGAGTCCATAATGTTCAGTGTCCTATAGTGAATACTAACTGCCCATGGTGCTATTAGGGGTTTTCCCGACACCACAGTGTCCTCGCCATCCGCTATACGACTTGATGTGATTTCCGGTTCATTCATATGATAGTAGACCTCTTTGTCCAGTATTTGAATCATTGATTGATTAGTTTGAAAACATTTCTTAGGAAATCTTATATCAACCAAAACCGGTTCATATCTTAGACCGCATTCATTGGTATTTATGCCATATTTCTGGTGATTATTGTAATCGCCCTTCGATACAAACTCTGCACTTATTTTTGTAGTCAATTGTGAGATAATAATTATCTTTACAATGAAATCAATTGGAAATAATTTATTCATATTTAAAATCAAACACAAATACGTTTGTGAGAAATGGCAGCAAACGTTTAAAATAGATTTTATGTAATCATAACTGTCTTTATAATTAAAATTCAAAATAAAATTTAAAACTCGAGATATAAATAATGTAAATAATTAAATGTTTTAAATGTTATGACAAATTTAGTTGACTAGAAAATTATTGATAATTAAACAATGTGTAAAAATTAACTATTTATTTTATTAACATTAATATTTTACACATCTTATTCAATTTCAATTCCGCTATTTGCTTACAGTATTAAATATTTACTATTTTGCATACATTTTGATGAAAATCTATGAAAACTTTGTTAGAATAATAAAAAAAAATGATCACATTATTAGCATGTAATTGACAATTAGTTTTACTCATAATATTTTAAACTTAATATCACTATTAAAGATAAATAAAAGTATATTAAAAGTAGAATCTACTTTTTATGTTAGTTTTTATAATTTAATTAATTAATAATTATTGATATCTATATAAAGATTTTATGAAAAGATCGTAATTAAGTTTTGTATAAATTATATTTACTTTACATGTAATTATAAAATATTGTTTGCAATGGTATCTAAAATCCATTGCATTTCATTGGATACAGAGACGGCAATTGTCCGCCGTTTGCTGCATAGATTACCATCAGATCCTGAATAGATGCCCAATACTACTGCTTGAGTGCCGAACCTGTCGTTATACCGAATCCAACCGCCGCCAGAATCACCCTTTCATTCATACAAACATAACATTTAATAATGTATTTAAAACTTGTGGGGATTATACCTGACATAACCGGCCATAACCGATATATTTGGCACACAAGTGATTCTTGCCAACACCCAGATCACAAACCGCGTGGTCCACCGGATCATAGGACCACAATTCTAGTATAGCTTTCTGTAGTTTATCGGATTGCGAGCCGTCGTCTCCAGTGATTCCGAAACCAAAAACAGTCACATTTCCCGAATCAAAACTCCGCTTCATTTCCGGCAAACATACGGTGTTTATAGAGTAGTGTCTCTTTAGGGTTCGGTCCCGGAGTCGAGTAAAAGGTCGGTCCGTTTGAATCAAAGCCAAGTCCGCACCGCTCGACGAGTTAAATGTTTGGTTAATATGTCGGGTCTGAAAGCCTGTGTATCTGAACGGCGACGCCCTGATCACATATTTTCCACTCCAATGACTAAAATATATAGTTTTAATATGCATTTAATTTAACAACAATTTACTAATCTATATATTGTATTATTATTTACTCTTCTAAACAATGAGCGGCCGTTAAAACCCAATTCATAGCAATCAATACACCGGAACAACTATTCTCGTCAATAATATTGAAAATTCTAAAATGAATGCTAACTGCCCATGGTGCTTGCAATGGTTTGCCAGACACCACAGCGTCCTCGCCATCCGCTATACGACTTGAAGTGATGTCCGGTTCGTTCATATGATAGTAGACCTCTTCGTCCAATATTTGTATCATTGAATGATTGGTTTGATAGCATTTCTTGGGAAAATTTATATTAACTAAAATCGGTTCATATTTTAGACCGCATTCATCGGTATTTATGCCATATTTCTGGTGATTCTTGTAATCGCCTTTCGATACAAACTCTGCATTCATTTCTGCAGTCAATTGTGAGATAATATATATCTTTACAATGAAATCAAATTTATTCATATTTAAACGAATTCATTTGTGAGAAATGGCTGCAAATGATTACTTTTATGTAATCATAACGGAATAATAATAATAATAAAACCCAAAACTCAATTATTTTGAAATAAAAGTTGAAACGCAAGAAATAAATAATGCAAAACATTTGTTAAAATATCTATTGTTATCATTTGTTATGAGATGACTAGTGTTCACAGTTATTTGTTAAAACATATAAAACCATATAAAACACACTAAATTTAAAAATAATATAACTTGGTTTTATTAATAAAACCACATAAAGCCAGATTTTTTAAATGTCTATAATAATTGTATATAAATTACTAAATATTTATGAAGTATTGTTTGCAATGGTATCCAAAATCCATTGTATTTGACGCAATATATTGATGGCAAATGTCCGCCGTTTGCCGCATAGCTTACCACCGCTTGCATCAGATCCTAAATGGCTGCCCAACACTACCGCTTCAGTGCCGTACCGGTCGTTATAACTTATCCAACCGCCGCCAGAATCACCCTTTTATTTATACAAATATATAATTATTAATTAATACCATGTTCAAATACTTGCGACCATAACACTGCCATACCCTACATGTCCGGCCTTTCTTATACGACCCGCAGAGGATATTATTGCCAAAACTCAGAGCACACGACGATCGGGTCACCGGATCGACGGACCACAACTCCACCACAGCTTTCTGTAGTTTATCGGCAACTGATATATAGCTCTCGTCGGTGTAACCAAAACCAAATAC